GAGCAGGCCGTTAAGTTGATTCGTAATAAACCCGTGATGATAAATCAGATGCAATGAATATATGAAGTTCATATATTTTGAACTGCGGTATTAAATACGTATGATACCACATATATGAACTCCATATATTCATTGCATACTTGAAAGTGTTGTATGTACGACCCCGTTCCGAGGATCTTTCGTTTTCTCACGGTCATGATCCAAGAGGAAACGTTACTTCGACGAGCCCGAGAATTGATCGAAGTTATGATAATAAGCGGTTCTTCTGTGAAGTCAATTTGATTGAGCCTTGATTTTACGTGAGTGAAGGCTTGTTGTAAAAATTGATGGAAAGAATAGTATTTTGGTTGTGAGAAACTAACCGTCGATCTGTTAACATCTTCTGTATCAAATTAAAAAACTCCTCTGTTGATGTGCTATCAAGGTCCACCACCTCAGCGAACCCAGCCTGCTTTGCAGCCTGGGCGTTGTGTGATTGATCCCCGAAAAAGGGTGAACATATCATAGGAACACCATGGTAAGCCGATTCCAACATTCCATTGAGTCCTGCGTGTGCGATAAATAGGCGTGTCTTGGGGTGGCCAAGAATGTCATTCTGAGGTAGCCATGGCAAAAGTTTGACGTTGTCGCTGATGGAGAGTTTTGAACTGTCTGAAAAATTTCAAGAGACGAAATATCATGACTAGCGGCATTATCCTTGACATAATAATGCAAATAAATGCATGCGCAAATACTGTGTCATCTTCGTTATGTAGTCTCCCACATCTTATCCTCGTTTAATCGTCACCTTCGTTATCACACGGCAGGGAGGACGTGGCAAAACAAAAGATCTAATAGGCAGAACAAGAGCTTAGCACGTGCGTTTCACAACTTTGTACACTTCTTATCCCTCCTCTGCAAAACAACCACGTGAAATCATCAAAATTTGCGTGGTCTGAAAACGGAAACCCCGACGGCAAATTACTTATTATAAGTTTCCGTTTGGAACTAAACGCTGCTCATGTGGCACCATAAGAGACGGTAAACATGTCCAGCCTTTCGTAAAATTCCAATGAAAAATGTAAATCGACGTCTTCACTAGCACAGTAACCGTCCTGACTACTTCAGTAAAGTCCATAATACTGTTTGTGGGAGGAACCTTCGATTAGAAGCTTACCAGTTTTACTGTTACAGAACCAATGGAACGGTTATCAGTAGATCTCCATCAAACGTCGTGGCCAGGATAGTTGTTTCTTATTAAATGAATACTTTATCGTTTTGCGATGATTTATACAAAGTTGTCGGTTTTTGCTTTACATTGCATATAAAACAAACCCTGCACTGGGCCTTGTTTTCCACAAAACTCTTAATTGCCTAGTCTGAGTGAATAATTTCAGTTTTAGTTCGACCTGCTCATTAGTTACTTTACACAAGACGTTCAGTTTAAGCACTTAAAATTTCTTCTAATTATCATTTCTGTGTGAGAAAAACCATACCGTTCGGTTTAAGATTCCATATAATCTTCTGTGGTAGTTTGGAGAAGGTTTCAGCCATAATTTTTAGTGATAAGTCACTCACTGCTTCAACCACTGTACCAAACGACACCAATATCACGCCCTCGTCCCCAGCCTTCTGCACGAACTGATTTAACTCGTCTGGTAGAGATTTGGCTGGACTGGCAATGAATGGACCCACAACACGTGTATCTAGAGAGAGTGGAGATCTTAACTGAGATTAACTGAGGAAGACGATCTTTAACTGCCAACAAGACCGGTTTCAACGCGCACTTTAACTTTCTTACATTATGGTCGATCGCGGTTGCCTAAAAAAACAAAATAATTACTAGTTATTGCAAAATACAAGTAGAAGGAATAGAAACGTAAACAACTGAGGAAAAGCAATCGTGCAAGGAAAAACATTTGCAAACGTTGTATGATCTTGTGCACACGAAAGGCGGAAAACTAGGAGTTGATCGCAGTAAAATAATCGACGTTGATCTAAAGGACTGATACTCTGATACTCTAATGCTGAATTTAACCGAGAAGTTTATACAAAATGAAATTGAACAAAGCAAAATTATACGAAAAAATCTAACAGAATATAAATCAACGTAAGTGGAAGAATGCGAAAAGCAATAAGAAATATGCGCGTGCAAAACGTAAAAATGTAATTAGGAACGCAAAAGGAAATCGCTAAAAATGGGAAAGCCGCACTAACACGATCCGTTGAAATTCTTGTTTCTCCTTTCGGAGTCGAGGAAACTCCGTCCTATCAGCTATCCTATCAAAGATGCTTATTTTGAAAAACGTTGGTGCTTACTCGGGTATAGAGGCCTTGGATTGTCTATCGAGAAATCCATTTGACCGATTATTATGTCGACTCTGCCAAGTGTTTCTTGTATGTTCTTGTCGGGTGTAATGTTGTGCTTGGCTTTGATCTTCTCAAAAGGGGGACACAGATCGTAAATGTACGATCCATACAAAAAAATCCATCCTAAAAGACTCCTTGCTCTTTCCGAAAAGGTTAGCATGTCTGAAAGAGTAACTCCAAACTGTGGTATGTAGGAAGGAGGGGCGGGTAAGCCGAAAGCGAATGCTGTGGGTGCATCCAGTGAGGTAACTGATACCATAACAAGAGGAAGTGAGAATTTATCAGCAATTAAAGTCGAACAGAGGTAAACGAATTCACCAACAACGAGGTCTGCGTGAGATATCTCTTCCATGACATTCGTATTACTAAGAAGGTCATCACAGTAAACGGATTGGTATCTATAAAGCCTTTGCCATGTTTCTATTACACTTAGCGATTTTAAGGATTGAGCACTTCTTGATGTTGACCGCATCCCTGCTGCAAAATTGTCATCGTTGAAGACTCGTACAAGTGAATCATTTACTGCATAACTTTGGGTCGGTCCCACATATATCTTGACCTGTGGAAACATTTGCAATTCTTGTTCAGGCCTTATTAGGATATATTAGGATATATGGAAACCCCTTCCTTCCCCCCCTCCCTGTTGAAGTCCTAAATGTAATAACATTTAAACCTAAATGTAATAAGCTTCCAATGCAATCGTTTGACTGCGCTGGTGCATGTTATAGCGGACATCCACATCGAGATGTTAAAGTGACAGCTGTTGCACCAGAGAACCCTCTGACCAATATTCATGGCATATGCGGGCTCGCTGATATTAATCAGCGTCTTTTTATTTGCTAGAGACGTAGCTCGAGAAGTATGTGTTACAAACCCTTATACTGATGTGCTTTAGGCATCAAATTGGCAGACTTGAAAACAAAGAGAACGCTGACCAATACCTCTATATCATTGGCTCGGACTCATTAGTGCCACAAAATATGACGATATACTTGTATGATCAGTGCTCAAGTTAACGCTTCATGAACCAAATTACAAGGAAAAGGAAGTCCACTAACTTAAACGTTGGACAAATTCCGGGCTCTGAAGTGCAGTTTTTGCACTTTCTTCCCTTGCAAGATTTGTATGGGTCTGCATGAAATTTATTCATATGCGTTATTGACCCTTGAAGCGTGAGGTCAGGATGGCTGGATATTGGCCGAGTTCTTTTACTGCATTTTCATGTACCGAGACGAAGTCGAGGTCCATAAAAACGCAGAAAAGAACAAGGCTAATATCCGGCCATCTTAACCGAACAAGCTTGGTCAAGAGAGTTTATATTCTCTTGGCTTAGTCAATAAAGGGCATTAGTGCGTCGAACAAACCTTATTTCCTTTTCTTATTGTTCTTTAAACCAACTGGTACACCGCAAATCAATTAGTACACCTGTTAAATGTAAGTCACTGAGTATATCATTTGATGCAGACCCATGTAACACCTTATTCATTTGTCGGATTTGTTGCATGCATCTCACGATCAAGAAGGGAGAAACATTATTTTGTCCATACTCACGAAGATATTCAAGAATTTGAAAGTGATAAATCTCTATTTCTCATTTTTTTTTGAGCATGCTAACAAGGTCTAGTCAGGCAAGGGAAGACAAAAAAATGTATCAATCTGAGTCTGCAAATTGTCCGACCTATAAGTCAGGGAACTTTCTTGTCCAAGTTTGTAATTTGGTTTATGACTTATTAACACCATCACTGATCACACAAGTATAACGTTATCACATTTTTCCAGTATTGGTCAGGTACTCATTGTTTTGCAAGGTGTCATTTTATGTCAATTGTTAATCAGTATGACGGTTTGCAGCCAATTCTTCTCTACTTAAGTCTAGCAAGCAGAAAACGCTGATTGATATCAGCGAGCCCGTAATATGACATGAACATTGGTCAGGGGATTTTTTGATGCAACAGCTGTCACTGTGGCACCTCAATGCGGATTTCCTCTGTAGCAACAATGCACTGTCATTGGAGGCTTATTACATTTAGGACTAAATGTTGCCACATTTAGAACTTTATTACATTTAGGACCAAATCTTATTACATTTAGAACTTATATACATTTGGGACAGTTATATTACATTTAGGAGTTACGCATGCACCGAGAGTTGAAAAGAAAACTTAGGAGGAAAGTAAGAATGCTATGTAAATGGATAAACGTAGAATTATAACATATTTGCGTACGAGAACGGTTTATGTATTCAAGGTTTTGGTTAAGATTTATTTTTATTTTCAAAATATACCTGTATTTAAAAGCCTATCTTGGTTAGTTTTGAAATATTGACGTTTTTTTTTACCCAGGGAAAACTCCTTACTAAACTCGGCCCGTACTGTAAGTCACCTAACCTCGTTTCTGTCATTTATATTACACCTTTTATTATCCTTTTTTTTTTTTTTACTGTTAGGTGTTCCCGTTAATGACCTTTAGATCCCAAAATCACACTCACCACTCTTGGGCCGCCTGTGCTCTAAGGAGCTCAAATATAGCCGTTGGAGGCTAATAAAAACATTTGTCGTCGAGTTTTTCTGTTGAAAGCCCGTAGTTGTCTTCTGAGGATTCATAAACATCTATTTGAGTAGTCATTCCCGTACAAAGACAGTTCATATTGCGAAATCTCAGCGGATAAGTCACTTTTTCTTAACTTGCGTGAAAGCAAAAGCTTAGAAACTTTCAACCTTGCTTTATCACAAGACGAAATATCTAACAAACTATAAAATTTGTAAAAAGATAAGTCTTCAGCTGCTCTAATAACTATGTGAAGTAAAATCTCTAAAAGATTGATAATTCCTTATTTTTTTAATTTCGATAGCGTCACGTAAAAACCTGCTCGCTTCAAAGGGCACCTATCGGAGAAGCCGTAGGAATTAATAAGCCCCCGGTGGGTATATTCGAGTGCTTTAATCCTTAAAATCGCAGATGAAGTCAAAATGTAATCCTTCCTGACATTGATCACGAATGACTAGGCCATCATCATTCCGTCTGATGTAGCAGTACACGATCGTTTTCAAATCAGTTGGAAAAATGAAATCATATCATTGACGTCGGTGGACAGGATTGCCTCCAGACCGTATAATGTCTTGCGTGCATGTTCCCTTCGTAAGTGGAACTTATTTCATTCAGTGCGTTGGACAATCTCTTTAGAAATTAAACAATACCTCAACGTTAGCATTGCATTTCCTATATTACGCTATTAAAAAGAAAAATTGTCACAGCAGTAGTTACTGAGATGGAGTAAACTTGCGGTAGGTACAATAGTTCAGTGCTTAGGAGTAGTTAAGAATAACATGTCACTTTCCTTATCGATAATAATTAATAATAATAATAATATAATAATTTAATATTTATATTGCGCAAATTAACATGTGGATATGATCAAATGCGCATCACAACACTTTTCGGGGGACTTTGGCCGGACTGCATCAGCAGTTTACAAACAATCGAAGGAAACTTATTTGAAGATGCCCCCTCCCCCCAATTCCCAGTAAACAGGCCAGACCACATCACAGTAATCTCGTGAGTGGGTTCTTTAACGTCCCCTGCCTAACCAAATTAACTAATTAATAGATGCAGGAGACGGGACCTACGGTTTATTCGTCCTTATCCGAGAAGACTAGAATGTCTATCCATTTCTTGATATTATAGAAAGGTAGCGCATTCTCCTCAGTTATTTTAAGACCTTGAGTGTTGGTCCGGCCGGGGCTCGAACCATCGACCTCGACCTCCCGCACAACAGTCCAGCGCTCTAACCAATTGAGCTAACCGGGAGGCGGTATGTCACTTAGGCGTCTAATCAAACCACACAAACCTTCAAAAAGTAAACATAATTTGATCAGCCTTCGGGCTGAAAATTCTTTAAAACTATCTAGGTGTCATCCAGCTCGGCCTTCACGTTGCTAAATGCAAGAGGCTGAGTTTAGCTGTTTTAGTCTCCTCTCTGATTTGCATACCTGATGACCTCTCTCCGCCAGTTCTTGTCCAAGCCGGGAGACGCACATATAATGGCTCCTTCCAAACATCGGTAACATGACAATATTTGCTGCCAGACAGCTAGAAAGAATAGCGAGAAACACCGACACAAGAAACGCCACCATCTTGTATAAAACATTCAACACAAAATATATTGACTTTAGTCGAGTCAGGTCACGACAGCAGATGGATTGCGCAAAAATTGCATCAGGACGACGAAAAGTGATTTGATTGGCTGATTGACATTGATGCTTCTTCCATGTTTGACAGCTCTGAAATAATGATGTGGGTGACAAAGGGTTTATACGTGACACGTGATTCAGCCCAAAATGAATATGCATGTGACGGATGAACTTTACAGAAAGGTAATGTAAGGAGAGATTTAGCTTTAAATTCGTGACGCGTGAAATACTGTCACAAGCACCCGTGGCATGAGTATCAGTGACATTGCTTGATTTCACGTGGAGGTCAATTTCAAAATTTTTTGTCTCCTGATATTTATTTCAACATAATTTACATCAAATGAAAAAACACCGACAAACGAAACGCGGCCACATTGTGTAATACATCACTGACAGAATATACTTGTACAGGGGGGGTGCGTGACTGACATTCAGTCGAGTCAACTCAAGCAAGCAGATGGATTGGGCAAAACTCACACTGTGAGGAAGGAAACTGATTTGATGGCACGAGAAAGCACATTATACCGTAGGCTGTATTTTCCAAAAAGAAATGTTTCGTTCTTCATCTTTATTTTAGATACTTTTTATTTAGGCCGCGAGAAAAAACGTGACGTGACGCGCGAGAGAAACGTGCGAAAGAAGCGCGAGATCAAAAGATGAAAATTCAAAACAAAGATGGCGGCGCGTGTTTCTTTTTCTACTTTTGTGAGAAGTTTACCTTAGAGCGTGTATTTGATGTGTTGAGGCTGTCTTTGACAGCTGTTTAATGATTTTCTTAGCAGTAAAGGCGAATTTACGTATGTAAACATCGTAGGCGCTCGCGCGAGCACACGCAATTGACAGCGGTAGCTATAACAGGTCATGAGCAAATGTCGATCTTATAGAATACAGATTTTTAAATGCGCGAGAACGCGCGTGGAAATTGCTAAACTCACGAAAGCTATTGCATGAAAACAAGTCCGGTGACCCCTTCTTTTTATTCTTCCAAAACGATAATAACGTCGAAAGGAATCATCAGAAAAAAATAGAAAATTCTACGGAAGGAAATTTGCAAGGTGTGAAAATCGCCTTTTTTCTAGATTTTCTGAAATTCCGCTCGGTAGAATTTTTTTAAAATCTTTGTGCATTTTCCTTTTCAAGTGCCAAATGCAAACACTGAAAAAAAAAACACGGGGTCACCGGGTAAGTTTTTGAATTATTTAAGCCACAAGCTAAAAAATGCGTCTAAATAAGCCTATGATAGCGTTGCCATGGAAACTTCTAGTGACGAAATGACACCTATTTTTGGATAACCAATGATTATATAATTCAACCCCGTAAAAGTGTTCAACTGACCTTGGTCAGTCTTTCTGTTGTATTCTTTCAAAGTTACAAACCATCCAAAAGACGAAAACCGGTACGAGCCACCTTAATGCATTCAAATCACGTTTAGAAAAATCCCAGGAGAGGCACGGGTTTTTGAAGCTACAGTTAGACCCCGATAATTCGAACTCGGATAATTCGAAGTCCCCGCTAATTGAAGTAAAATTCATTTCCCTTGGTTTTGCCCCACTTTTCTCAGTCATTTTACCTCGGATAATTCGAAGTCCCCGCGAATTCGAAGTAATTTCTGTTCCCATAGGTCGGATTTTACCCCGATAATTCGAAGTTAAGTTACCAGCTGAATGAAAAAGAACAGACGCCGTCGGAAATTAGAATATATATTTATGTAATAACAGTTTCGAACATTTCACAGCTCGTTAATCCCTTTATAATTGTGTAAAACAGTTCTCTGTGCATTAATCCCTTTACTGTATGTGCGGTGCTTTATAAAAGTTATTAACATGTCGATGTGATGAAAATCCATGTGCCTAAAGAGTTGACGAAAAATCCAATTTTAGTCTTTCAGCTTTGTGAACTCTCTTTCAAGAATACTGACGTATTTCTTCTCTCCTTCAAACAAAAGTTTGCATGGCACTTGCATCCCTTCACCGTCGCCAAGATTAACAGGCATGCCTGTCACAATAACAGTGCATGAATTTCTATTATCCACTCTCAGAAAATAAAAGATTGTCTTAGCGAATCGTCCACTCTTTCCCTTCTTCAGATGTCCAACAATGGTTTCTTGATCTTGCATCACACATACGGCATATTTGTCCACTGGGTTATCGGGCTCTCTTCTGGTTGAAAGTTTTTCATTCACTGTTGGTTTCCAGATTTCCTGGTAGTCGTGATATCCCTTTATGTAGGAGTTAATCTGAAGCGAAGCAACATTCCTTGGGCAAACCATTATTTAAGCAGAGCTTGATTTAGTAAATTCAAAGCCGTTATCTAGCAGCACAGGGGGGCTCAGACAAGCGACGAGTCTGGTTGTTTATTCGAAATATAAAGGAATGTATGGGAGAATATTGAAGAGTCTTATTATCGTAAACTTATATCATGAAATGTCTGAGTTAAAGCTCAAAATAAATGTAAACCTACCTCACTTGCTGTGTATTGTCGTTTCTGTGGCTCTAAATGGCGAATTTGAGCGATTTGGTGGGTTTTGCGTCGACTGTTACTATACGTTATAAGAAGGAGACAAGGGTGGAAAGCTCATTTTCGACCGCTCTAGCGCGAAGCCGATTTTCACCCAGAAATAAGAATCGCCCGGCTTCCAAATCGAAAACCAGATAAACTGAAAGGTTGACGCTTCTTCTCGTCGCATTCAATCGAAGATCCATTCAAAATCCAAGCGCTAACCGCCAAAA